TCCCGGCTTCCCCGATTCAGCTGCTGGTCAGTTTCAGCAGCAGCTGAATGGGGGAAGCCTGTCCAGCTGCCCCAGCACTTCCGGGTTCCTGATGGTGCCGAACCATCAGGAGTCCCGGAGCATTGGATGCCGGACTAATGGAGTTTTACTGTACATGTAATTTTTGAGAAAATGGGCTCAGCCTATAAATACAAGAATCTCCAGTAGGGGGAGTACATGCTGTTTCAATGTTGAAACTGTTACTTTACAATTGACAAAGATTAAGATGGGAGAGAAGAAGTGTCAGCATTTTGGGCCTTAGAATATTGCTTTCAACTCCCTACTAAGTATTATTCAGATTTTAAAATCTTAAAACACAACATATTACTTTCTTGAAGAAATAATATCTCAAGAAAAAAGACAAGTACGATGCATCCACAGCAGCTTTTAGAAATCAGTGAAAACTGGGGCAGGGAGAGCTAACATTCAATGTGAAAATATAGCAGAAAATGTGATTGTTCAGAAATCAATAATAAAGAAAAACATTATAACAAATTATTTGTATATAAATATGAGGATAATAGGGAAAAGAATGCCATCTTATGGCAAAAGATTTTACATTTCCAGCAAGCTACATCACAGTTCGACAAGGCAGGTGTGAAGCAAAGATGCAAGCCATGATGAACAAAATATAAAAACCCATCAGTGGGCATCTTCTGCGGCCCCCCCCAGGTCTAGCTAGGGGAGAGTAAGAATGGAACTTCATGGACGAATGCTCTTGATACTCTGTTTCACATGATTACCAGGCTCAGTGGAGGTATTTAACTATCCACTGAGTAACTAAGGCACCCATGAATGAAAGGAACTACACATAAAGAAGCCCACAAAATAGAAACTTGAACAAGAAGAGAAGCCACCTTGGATCTGGTTTGTAATGGTCCAATTCATTCCCTGGACTGGCGTAACAGATGGCAGGAGATTGTAGGAGAGGAAGTCCCTGGGGGGAGATGGGGTTTCCCACTTCACAGACACGATTTTAGAATCTACTCCCTATAGCAGAAAGGTGTCTAAATTTTTTGGGGGGGCATATGCAGAGACAAGAGCTACTTCTTTGGAGACCCACTCCCTCTTTTCCTGTTTCCCAACTCTGGAACACCCAAAGCACAGAAAGATACAGTTCATACTGTTGTAAGTCCATGCAGTTTCTGTGGGGAGAAGGTGGAGAGGAGCCACATTCCATGACACAAGGCCTAACAGAGACCATCTAGGACAGTGGTCCCCAACCTTTTGGGGCTGCCGGGCGCCGGGCCACTCATGCACCAGGCACCCGAGGGCGGGGCCGCGCACACACCGCATGCCTGGTGCCGGCACCACCCATGCGCCGCACTCCCGGGGCTGGCGCCACTCCTGTGCTGCGTGCCCAGGGGTGGGGCCGCCCATACGCCGCGTGCCCAGGGCCAGAACAGCCCATGCGCTGCATGTCCGAGGCCGGTGCCACTCCTGTGCCGCGCGCCCAGGAACTGGCAGCGCCCATGCGCCCTGTGCCTGGGGCCAGTGCTGCTCCTATGCTGCATGCCCAGGGGCGGAGACGCCCATACGCCACACACGCCACACTCCCGGGGCTGGCACAGCCCATGCACTGCACACCTGGGGGCGGGGACGGCCCCGATCAGTTGGTGGGCACACAGAAATGGCCCAGCAGGCGCCATGGTGCCCATGGGCACTGCATTGGGGACCACTGACCTAGGAGTTTTAGGATTATGTGGGCAGAGGGGCTTTTTGCTGAGTATTGTGTGCATGCCAACATGTGGGAAGGGAGAACACAAAGAAACTGAAGACAGGTGAGAACAGAGAGAAGGACAGAGGCAAAAAGCAACAAAGCTAAGCAAAAGACCATGAGCACAGTGTGATGACCCCAGGGGCAGGGAAAGGAGGGGAGGGAGAGAGGGAAAAGGAGGGAGAGATATTTTGGGTATGTTGGCTATGAGGCTTGGAGCTGTCATCTAAGAAATTGCTCCTTTTGTTGTTTTTTCCCACCTGAATTTAGAGCAGCAGGACTTCATATGTTTCTTGTAAATAAACAAGAATGCATCAAAGGAAACACCAAACTCCAGCTATTTGTACTTCTAATTGGAACTTCTCCAGGGCCCCAAACTATGACTAGCTGTGCAAGTCAAAAAGAGGCAACAATGCTATTGAAATACAGTTCCCTGCACCCACTTCACCTACTCACTATCTCCTTCAGAACAGACTTCAGAGAGGCCTCTGTAAGATCCCTGAGGGTGCAAGAGACTGTGCTAGAAATATGGCTGAGTCTTTTTTGTGGAGAAGTGGGGAGATCTGCATAGAAAGGATGCAGTCTTTCTATGTACAGTTCTGTGGGCACATGCTGACCAAATAATAAAGAACATGTGAATAGGGAGGCTTATATCAATAGTAATAAGAAACGGATTCCTAAAATGAACACAGTCTAATCCCAGTGGAACCTACCCCTTTTTCACTGAACACACGATTCTCTATTTACCTCATCCCAGTAAATGTTGAAAGCATGAGAATCAAGGATACTTTGTAATCCCTGCCACTGACATCATTATTCAGACATTAACCATAAAGAGCATTCCCAAATATTACTAGACTCATTATCAAGGAATTAGTAATGACGAGACAGCAGAGACCTCTGATAGCACACTCTGTTGGTTGCTGAGAAAAGCCTCCATGATCGGGTTTTTCTTTTTTTAATGTGTTCCCCATAGTTCAGAAGGCCAGTATCATCCCAAAATCTGTAGCCACAAGAGATTTACTGTAGTTTGGAGCTGACCTGACTTGCACTTGTTTTGAAACCATAACACGGGGGAATAAAGGTTTTAAGAACTGGGCGTTGTGAAAGTCAAGTGGTAGAATGTATATCTGCATGAACTTTCCTTCCCATCAGCTGCCTATTAGTCTACGGTAGGGATAAATTGTTAAGGGCCTTATTTTGGCTTCCATGAGAGGTTTTTCTTGCTGCCAAATGAACCAACCTACTGTGGACATAGGATCTGTGCACCTCTAAGAACTGCCTCTTTGAAGAATACAGATACCGTATGGAGTAAGGCCCACTGAAAGGGCTTGTGATTTCAGTAGTCATCCATCTTACGGTTTTGCACTAGTGCCCATGACAGTAGTACCAGAAGACATGTCTGTACTTACTGGAAGATCAATGCTCTGGAGATCAATCTTCTGGCATTTGATTTAGCAGGTCTAGCATATACCTGTAAATCGAACTCTGAGGGCAATTCCCACTGGTGTCCGGTACACCTCCTTTTGCAAGGAGTAAGGGAAACTCCTGTTGGCTACCCATATTGTGGATGCCACCAAAGCTCAGCTTAAGATAAACTGACTCCAACTACACATCTTACATAGCTGGAGTTTCATATCTTAAACTGAACCTTCCTGGTCTAGTGAAGACCAGGCCTTAGTACTTCTCACATAAATTATACTGGCAAAGTGAGGTCTCTAGTGAACTTAGGCATGCTTGAAAATCCCACCTATGTACTTTAGGAACACAGGTCTCAATGACTTTCAGTAGGACTTGTGCTCCTAAGACACGTAAAGGCTTTTGAAAGTCCTACTTTTCTGAAGAGTATCTATCTCTCAGAACTACAGGAAACTGTAGATATACTTACTTTAGAGCTTGCTGTGAGGCAATGACATATTCTGAACAGCCAGTCCTGTACAGAACTTGAGTATTGGTTTGTAGCCAGACCCAGTGATCTTCATTTGTTAGTACTTTAAATAAAGAAATGCCATTTTCTCCATTGTTTGCTATAAAATTAAAAGAAAATATATTCTAGTGCAAACAATTTTAATATTCAACTAATAAACCTAATAAACTACTAGACAGTCACAAAAATGCTTGATATCTATTATGTAGAAGAGTGTAAATCAAAACGTGTCATGGCTAAGATTAACTAGGCAAATTGCAGGAAAGAATGCACACTGGGAAAAAGATTACCGTAAAATCTCAAGTATAATGCGCACCTATTTATAGTGCACACCCTGAGTTTAGACTCTTCAAATCATGAAAAACACAGACTCCTATGTATAATACGCATCCATTATACAGGAGAATGGGAGAGAAGGAACAGGAAGGAAACCTGCCCAGCTGCCCGTGTGCCAAGCTTGCGCCTGCCGGGGGAGCCTCCCCCGCCCAGCTGCCCGCGCACCGAGCTGACGCCTTCCAGGGGGGGAGGGCGCTCTCTTCGCCCAGCTCATGCCTGCCCCTCCGCCCGCCCAGCTCGTGCCTGCCGAGCGTGAGTTTAAAACTGGAAAAAAAAAACCTCCTACAGATAATGCGCACCCTGACTTTGATGCTAAAAAAATGGGGGAAAAGTGCGCATTATACTTGAGATTTTACGGTACAGGCTCAGTTTTCAAATACTTAAATTAGTGAGATTTTTCAGTATCAGAAGTTCAGTCTAGTTTTTGCTTGTCTAATAATAAAAGATTCAATAGAAATTAGACAGTGAAAATGGCTGTGATAGAGAAGTTGTATTAAAGAAAGTATGACTTCAAGTGTAAAACCTGTGCAATGAAAAGGTTAATACTGTTATCTGAATAGAGAAGAGGGAGAAGGAATGGCTTCAGGAGAAATAACTCAAAAATCAGCAAAGAGAATTACTAAATTCTTACATTTTATACCAAACACCCTGCCAATTTGTAAAAGACAGCTACAGCAGATCATAGATCCTCACAGTACCACAAGCCCCATGCACTGAGAAATCATGAGCCAGTTTACCAAAACAAACAAATAAGCCTAATAAAAATCGAATACATTTGCATTTCTTTATATTTGCTGTCTCGTTTTGTGCCATTAAGGTCCTTCCACATCACATTTTCAAGCTTTTTGCTTCAACCAGGAGAAACCTCCCTTTATTTTAATGAATGCTAAGTCTTTTATGGTGGGGCAGACCCCAACCCCACTCAGCAGAGAGCTAAAGAGCACCTCTGGGCACAATCAGCCTCAACCCCACCACCCATAAGGAATTTCAAGCCTGGAGCAGGGTGGGTGCTTCAAAAGAAGACTCCCTGCTCAGTGCAGCCTGGGTGGTACCAGCAAGTTTGCACCCCAGAGCTCTCCAGGCACTAGAAGCAGGGATTTAAGACTGGAGAAACAACTTGAGAGCTGACCAGCCTCCCCCCACCCCGAAAGGAGAAGGGCTGATACTTTTCAGCTTCCCAAAGGCCTTTCATGGGTGCGGAAGCATACTGACTTTTGGTTTTGATTATTTTAACCTTCTCCCGCACAAGGGGGATTGGCTCCTCAGCTTGCACAAGCAAAAGGCTGAGCCCTGGCAATTGAGGCAGAAGAAATGTCCATCCTTTTCCCAGGGAGCACTATGGAGGCATTGCCTACTGTACATGTAATTGTATGAATCTGGGTGCTGGAGCTTTTAGAAAACCCACTTAATATCTCAGCTAGAGAATGGCTAGACTATAGGGTCAATATGATGTCATATTTGGTTGATCTATATCACAACAACAGCCAATGGGAAATTGGGACCAAAAGATGGAAACCTTAAATGGCGGGGGGAAACAGCAAGGTTGCTTCCAAAAACTGGCAATGTTGCAACATTACAGTATTATGACCTGATACCTTTGGCCTGGTTTTCAGCACTTTGTAACACATTAGAGAAAGCTGCACCCTCATGGTAACTGGTTCTTCCTTGTAATTCTGTTTCACATAGGCCTGAAATGGATTTTGAACTGCAGAGGACAGATAATGTGAAAATATTTGTTCAGTGAATGACAATACAGCTAAAGGCAACTCAACTGTATAAAACATGACTTTCAAACTAGCAACCAACTAATAGTAGTTATGGTCTGAAGATGGGATAATGAAAACACTGGTCTACAATTTTTTAGAAGTCGCCTGCTTCAGAGATAAAATGTGCTATTTATTATGTATTTTGATGTGCTGAATTCAAATATGACAATTAAAACAACTGATTGGCTACTGTTTCCAAGATATTTAAGTTTTTACATTTTACGTCTACATATATGGTGTAGATAGTAGAGTTTTAATAATAAATTGTAAACCTAGGTCTTTTCACGTGTTTATGGTTGCTTTACATGATAATATTTCACCTGTCCTGTTTATGTAACACTTTAAAAATCAGCAAAAGGGTTATATAAATAAAATTTATTATGAAACAAAAGGCAAAAAACTATTATGTACATAGTTTAGTCCTATTCAGTGTCTACTTGGCGCTTCTTGACTTGTCTCTTGTATTCATTAAATGGAGCATCTCTTGTCACTGTCCAGCAATAGTCTGCAAGCATTGATGGGCTCCATTTGTCCTGATAGTGTTTCTCCATTGATGCAATGTCCTGGTGAAATCGCTCACCGTGCTCGTCACTCACTGCTCCGCAGTTCGGTGGAAAAAAATCTAGATGAGGGTGCAAAAAATGTATCTTTAGTGACATGTTGCAACCAAGGCTTTTGTATGCCTTGAGGAGGTTTTCCACCAACAACCTGTAGTTGTGTGCCTTGTTGTTTCTGAGAAAATTTATCGCCACTAACTGGAAGGCTTTCCATGCCGTCTTTTCCTTGCCACGCAGTGGATGGTCAAATGCATCATCTTGAAGAAGTTCATGAATCTGAGGACCAACAAAGACACCTTCCTTTATCTTAGCTTCACTTAACCTTGGAGATTTTCCATGGAGGTACTTGAAAGCTGCTTGTGTTTTGTCCATGGCCTTGACAAAGTTCTTCATCAGACCCAGCTTGATGTGTAAGGGCGGTAACAAAATCTTCCTTGATTCAACAAATGGTGGATGCTGAGCACTTTTTTCCTCCCAGGCTCCAATGACTGTCGGACTGGCCAATCTATCTTGATGTGGTGGGGATCTTTTGCACGA